ATGGTATTAGTGAGTTAGCTCACCGTATTCATTGTTTACAATCGATAAAATTTTGCCTGCATGGCAATTATGTGGCAATGTAAAAACACGCGTGGCTGCCCGATTAGCGGGTTGCTTTTGTCCCAACTAATAGTTGGGATTGATGTTAAAAAACTTGTCTCAATGAGATAAAAAAAAAGGCACACGCATATAGTAATAAAAACCAAAGAAAAGAAACTTAAAAAACCTTACAATTCCTACATAATAATGAAAGAGTTTGCAATGTGAGAAATAAGTTATGATTAAATTTTAAAAATTATGAAATAACATGGAGTTAAATTAATCATTGAACTTGTATTGTTTTTAGAGAACTAGATTTCGAATGAGTATCAAATAAATGTCGAAAACGCTAATTTCTCAAAAATGCCATGTCAGCATACTAATAACAAAAATTATTGTAACTAGTCAAAAGACAAACTTAACTTAATAAGCGCATCTCAGTGTTGCGCTACTCTATCATATTACGCTAGAAGTAGAGACAAAATTGTTTTCCAACGCTACGCTACATCTCTGCACTACTCTAGAGTTATGAATAGTATCGCGCTACATCTGGCGGGCGCGGTACTATTCATTACTCTACAATTTTTATTTTTTTTTTGTTCTTTTATATAAGCAATTGATTTATCTTAAAATTCATTATTTGACATAGTTTTTACCATTAAATTTATAATTCAATTTGAGAATTATATAAAAATATTATTATTAAAAAATATTTTTTTATTGAATTACTATAAAATAAATCAAATATTATATAAAAATAATATTTTTTTGTGGAATAATATTTCAAACAAATGGAAGACCAACTAATATAATGATATATTTTATTTTATAAAATAATATGTCCAGTTAAATAATATTATGATATATTAAATAAATTAAAATAATACGAATAATATATGTAGAGTAGAATGTAGCGCGAACGGTTAGAGGCCGAATGTGATTTTTGGTTAACTCCACTCTAGAGTAGAGTAAACTCTGCACTAGAATAGAGATAAGGACTGGAGATGACCTAAGAATCTATACTTTTTTATTTAGCATCGATTTGGTTTTGACCAAACCCTTCAAGAGACTGAACTGATACCAAATCGATGATTAGTCGGATATGGACTATAGTCTATCAGCTACCATTGTCACCCCCATTTTTTCATAGGTCAAATATTAGCCTCAAATTGGGGTCTTTAGCAAGCAAATGGCACAAGATAAAACCACAAATTTAGTTAAGAGCCAATTGCATAAAGTTCAGCAAACGGAGAGAGATTTTAAAGTTTGCCATAATCTCTCCTCTAGCAGCCATTAGCAGGATGTACTGATTTACAATCTTTTTTGAAGGAAGTCGTGCACAAAAATTAGATTCGATCTAGGAATGACTACACTAACGGCAGCAATCATGTCGATGGCTATGCCTAATCTGAACCGAGAAAGTACTCCTCAGGAACATAAAATTTTAAGCCAATAGCCTGCAAATAAATTTCGAAATGAAATAATTCGTCAACAAGATGAATCAGCAGGAGACGAAAGGTTGAGAAAACATAACTTAGCTCTTCAACAAAAAATTAGCGCACACTCAGAGAGGTTATAGGCTCAAGAGCTCAAGCAAACTCCAGTTACGTTAAAACTTCAGTTTCAAGAGCTGAAGCGTGATGAGCTAGGATATCGCGGTTAAATAATTCAAAACTGAGCAAGAATGTCATTAGGTTGATGGATTTTGTTTTTTCACAAACCTGTGCAAATTTTATATCGGCATCACTGTGATCATCTGGCCTTCCAGCCGCATCACCAACATAAAAGGATCTACAAAAGGCACAGGCAATACTCCTCAAACTTTTCAGTAGTTATAGAATTTGAACATGTATGAACTAAGAAATTTCAAAACCAAAAATACAAAGTAAGATTAACTGATCCATGTCAACTGGAAGACCGGAATTGAACTCCTTTTCCATGATCATCCACATCCCAGGTTTCGGTTTTCGAAACTGGTCTTCTGGTTCACCAGAACTCAATCCACAGGCAATGAAAACCTGCACATGACCAGTTGTGGAAAAAAGTTCTCGATTAATGTCCATGCAGAAGTAGTCAAAGCATATTCGTGTTGGTATGAGCGTCGTGAGGAACTCATTTCTAGATTTCCAAATTACTGCATGGTGATTACTAATTAGTAATTACAGTTGCGCAGTGTACCGATTACAAATAAGGAATTAACAATACGCCACTGCAAGAATGTTAACAAAGAAAGGTAAAATTCATTTTAATGGCTTTCTTTTAGTCTTTAAACAAGAAACTGGATTTCGACTCAAACGATAGCATAGCTCGTGCCAATTCATTTACACAGCTGAATAGAATAATATCACAACTGAGCCAAATCATTACAAAGCATGGACCCACTGAGATAAATTTAATTAGGGAACGGTCCAAGAGTTTTTATAGTTGCTTGAGCCAAATTGTCATATATAACTTTATGATCATATTTTGAATATCCAAATTGGCTAGAAAACATCTTACTTGAAAGAGAGCTATTTCTCATTTTTCTACTATGTGAAATGGCTAAATTATATTCATAATTTCATATGATTAACATATAGTAAATGTAAGAAACGAGAACCTGCATGGGCACTTTCACAAGCTTAATGAAATTTTCAAGCCTTCCAATTTTCGAATCTACAGCAGCTTGTCTCTTATTCTTCCACCGCTCGATGTTAGATTCATTGGTAAATATAACCTGCATATTCCTATCATATCAAATCATTTGATACATAACTATGTTTCATAAATAGTAAACTGATTTAAAAAAGAAACAGACAAACCAGCTTGTAGCCATCTTTGTAGAGATTTTGAAGCTTCTCTGGTATTGAAGGATACATGAGCGACCAGGCATCAGCACCTACTCTAAATACAATATACTTAAACAATTTAATGTCTTCATGTGATTCAGTTCCCTAGAAAAGAATGTTATATAGATCTGTGTTTATCAATCATCTTTCATAAGAGAATTATTACATTCGAGAATAAAGATCAAATGAAATTTACCTATGACAGAGTGTTAGGAAATTAAGTAGTGAGTGTATTTATATAATTCTCAGTTAGATATTAGCCATGACTACGAGCTCAGAATGTCTGGCAAAAACAGTCTAACAATCAGATTTATTTGATGGATTCTCCATTCCGAAACTCTAAGTCAGCCTTGTCAGTAAACCTATAAGAGTGTCACACTGCAACAATAAGGTATCGTTTGATGTTCAATTTTAACATAACAGATTCACGAGTAAAGACACTTTACATATCTGGTGCCATGTTTAGAATTTCAGTTCCAACGACACTATGCAATATCCATTGAAGGTAAACCATCATCCACAATTTTCCTTCTCAAGAACTGGTAATCATACCTTTTCACAGACGTCTTTGCCAGGCAACCATCAAAATCAAAGGCTGCAATTTTTCGAGAATCATGAAGACCATCATCCTACCGCATGTTAAAAACACAAACTTCAGATAGCCCCGATGGCAAAAGATAGAAACTGCTGCTTATGAAAGATGACTAAGCTGATATAAAATATCACTGGGGATTGGGCATACTACCTTCTCGAGAAATATGACTGTTTGAAATGCTTTCCATTTAGGCAATAGTGTCGCATCCTACAAAATAAATTCAGAAATAAGGAAAATAACATTAGATGAAAGTTATATAATGAGAAGCTTGCTAGATCAAGTTAGAACTAGAAGTGATAGTTCAACTTTCTTATGCGGGGGGTAGGGGTTGGGGGGTTGTTTGGGGGTTGCAGCATCTGACTGTGTAGCTCCAGAAGGATCGATTCCAAAAGTAATGATAAAGTGCAATAAACACGGTTTCACATTTAAGACCATGGGATTACCATTCAAGCCATACCTTGTACTTGTCCTTTATATCAGAAGCACATACTGCTAAATCCAGCGGAAGCTTTGCTTCTTCCTTGGATGTGAATAACTAGTAAAATGTTGCCACAAAAGACAGTCACAATAATGAAGCTTGCCTCCAAATGCAATGTAACAATTAAATTCTTCCCGAAAATATCTTGATATTGACGAATTGATACTAACACATTCTTATAATATTCAAATAGAAAACAACATTTGGCCATGTGTCGACCAACGCATAACCTGATGCAATCTGAACCATACATAAATTCCATAATATCGTAGCTGGCTAGGAGCTGTTTATAATATCCGAATCTCACATTTAACCAAATAACAAAAAAAAAAAATGATCATTTAAACTTATGAAGCACGACATGACAGTTTTTTCCTGGGGTGAAAAATTGTAAGGCAAATGAAGAGCTGCTTAGATCAAAGTCAAATTATCACCATCTCATGAACAATCAATTGACTTATAAATGGAACAAATACACACTATCCATTAAACTCTACGTAATAATCATGTCATTTTATTTTGCGAATCATAACTAGTGTAGCTGTGTACCTTTTGCTTCTTGAACTTGCCCTGCTTTGGATTTTCGTCCACCTTTTCATCCATTTTAATAACCTACTTGGAGCAAGAACAGGAAACGGCTTCATAAACATCCAGAGTCGGAAATGATTTGGAGAAACATTAATTTATCAACATTCATGCACAGAAAATGCTTAATTTCTTCTGCTACATATGGGTCATATAGCAATATACACATGCCTGAAAACACAAACTTCAAAAGTGCACTTGCTTAAACTACAACCCAAAAGTCCCAAACCAACATGAATGTTACAGAAAACAAGTTCGAGCAGATGTTTCTGACTCTCTGGTTGTTGCATCAGGTTACTTAAAGACCATCTTTGTTTATAACAATGACGCATCTGAACCAACAATCAGGATCAACATGTACTCATAATTTCACTGGGTACCATGTTCCAGTCTTTTGCTCGTATACGAGTGTCAATCAGACACATAGATGCACATAAGACTACAAACCGATCTGCGAATAAATTACTAAAGCACATGTAGAGTTACAGGGAGCACACATTTGGGCCAAATATTCTTGACCAAGTCTACTAGCCACAGAAATCATAGACACCGATAGGAATATTAAACCAAACTTTAATATACAAACTATCACATTCTTAGTTCAATCCTTCGTTCCAGACCACATTGAACAGACCGAAGAAGAGGCAAAGAAATGTCAGCTTAAACGGATGAGATAAATAACTTACAGTTTGCACACTACCAATTTTTCAACTAAGTTCACAATAAGTATAAAGCATCCATATTTCTCCGTGATAGCCCATAGTTACCTTGCCTGAAGCTTGCCCCAACTCATTTAACAATTCATGTACAGACTTCTGATCGTTGCTCTGCAATACATAATTGCAATAAGAAATTAAGCACGGTCTTTGACAAGTCAAGACGATTACATAATCCAGAAAATTAATAGAGACTGACACTGAGAGATGAGAATCCAGTGATGGCCTCCGCCGATGAAACCGAAGCAGAACTGCTAAATGGGAAGCACTGCAGATGATGCCATTTAGTCATGTCAAACCCTCGGGGGTCTTTACTCACCATACCCAACCTCAGAGACTTCGAAACAATCGCTTTCGAACACTTCTTGCACGAAGAGCGCCCTGACTTCGCGTACTCAGCCACGATTTTCACGGACGCCGGCGGTGACGACGACGACGACATTGCAGCAGATGATACGGTGATTAAGAGCACGCGGCTCGAATCAGGGCTCAGGGTCCTTGGGACGCGATTAAAATCGACGGCTAAATTAGTGAGGCGCAACGCATTCGGATTGCGGAGGACGGAGGCTAGCGTGAAGCCATTGGAGATGCTTATAAGCATGGAAACGAACGAGGGTTTATATAGGTTGATTCTGATGGTTGGGGTTTATGAAAATTTATAAAATGCGCTGTATTGTTCAAAATTCAAATGTGTTTTGAGTTATCAAGTCCCACTAAATTTTGCAAAACATTTATAATTATCATGGAGTATATGTATAAACCACTTCAAATTTCTAATAGTAGATATAGAGTTCGAGCTAAGTTTATAACTATATTAAACGACTGAACAAGTGGGTTGGAGCTCGGCTCATAGCTAAACAAACTAACAAACGAGCTCACTTTGATTGGCTTATAAAAATGAGACAAATTCGATCTTAACAAAGTCGATTTCAAATGAGACAAACTTGCGGCAATCGGATGGCAACCATTTTATTGTTTTGGTTTTATTTCTAGTTGGTGGAGGTGGTTAGATCCCAATTTTTATGCTCAACTCTGTTTGGTAGATCCCCATTGGGGTGCTCGGATTAGGGTTTCTCGGCGCAGTGTTCGGGTCGAGCCCTTTGTGCCTTCTTCTCTGCCTTATTGGCGACTTCGGGATCTCTGATGTGGACTAAGCCTTCCCTTCCTACCAGTTCTATCTAGCCATTCGGTGGAGTTTTTAGTTTTGGAGTCTATATTTTAGATCTTGAGGTTCTGGTTGTGGGTTGCCCTAATATGGGTTTGGCTAGTTGACTTGGCCTTGGTTGGGTGTGGATTACTCGCATTGTGTAGGGGATGTATTGGTTTATAGATAGCTTAGGTGTGCATTAGTTTGTTGGTGCGTTATTCTCTATTTATTGGAGTTGACTCTCTATTAATTGGAGTTGTGTTCATACCTTATGGGTGTTTTTTGCTTTTGTGTGTCACTAGACACCACCTTATGGTTTTAGCACCCTATTTCAGACCATTGACGGTAGCTTGGCACCCTCTTTGGGTTTAGTTGTATCTAGGGCACTATTGTTAGTGTTCCTCCCTGATCCCACTGTGTGATGTATCAAATTGGCTAGTTAGTCTTCGATCTGTGTCATGCACACCCTTTTTTTGAGTAATACAATTCATCGTTTCGAGAAAAAACTAAAACCAAAATCGATTTCAAATTCGAAATGAAGTCAAAATTTTGAAAAATTACGTAAAAAAAAAAAAGAAAATCTACTTTCAAGCCTAAGTGATTCTTACCAAGTTGAGCTAAAACTGATTTGGACTAGCCAGATAAATTTGTTACATGTTTTAACTCAAAATTTAATTCAATGCAACTCTCATCAATATTGTTAACATAACTAAATAATATCAATCAACTGTTTTCAATATCATCAACTTTAATCCATTATCTATCTATTAACATATTGCTAATTACTTATAATTTTTATATCACATAAATTTTAATCATTACATTTTAAATAATATTTAAATATAAAATCAAAATTTCACCCATTTTATTTAAAATAACTCGCTCTACTTATTAAATACTACAATCAAATCGGTTTTATATATATTAAGTCGCTCCATAGAGCTGAGCCGATATCGACTCGTTTGTATTTGCACTTAGGCGTGATTTCCAACGATATTATCCATACTCTCTGTATGCAATATGTGACAACGTGGCTAAAAACCCCCATATATACCGCAAATACTTAGGTGTGCCTTGGCTAGAGATGTTAAACGGGCTAGTCCTAGCGGTTACGGGCTAGCCCTAGCGGGCTTCGGGCTAAACGGTCCGGGCCTAAAAAGCCCGGATTTAAACGGGCTACCAATAAAAGGACCTAACCCTAACCCTAGCGGGCTTCGGTCTAAACGGGCTAAACGAGCTTTAATAATAGTATTAATAATAATGTATCAAAAAATATCAAAAATAAAAAGAAAAAAATTATAAAAAATTACAACGACTAATTAACGGTTGTTTTCAACGGTATTTATTATTTGCTGCTCTATATATACAACTACACATCATATATGAACACATACTACAAACTCTTAAATAATATTTTTTTTTCAAAAGAAAAAAATATTCAAATTATTACTTACAATTACCATTTCACTACTTATATTTTGTACGCTTTGGAAATTTTTACGATATTATATCACTATAAATTCTATCACTATGTTTCATGTGTTAGGTCTTTGTCTCATTTGTTTCCTATTAGTCGTTCTGATTGAGTTAAATATTTTGGTGTGGAGTACAATAAGAATATTGTTAATAATTATCTTTCATCAATATAATCCGTTACAGCTCATACTTATATGTGAAGTGGAATAACAAAATTTTAATATACAATGAATCTAAGAGTATATTACTTACTTGCTGCAAATATTTACAATGACCAACTCAAGTTAAACGGGCCAGCCCTAGCGGGTTTCGGGCTAGCCCTAACGGGCTTCGGTTTAAACGGTCCGGGCCTAAAAAGCCCTGATTTAAACGGGCTACCAATAAAAAGCCCTAACCCTGTTTTTTTCCGGGCTAAACGGGCCGGCCCGTCGGGCCAAGGACCGTTTAACATCTCTAGCCTTGGCACACCTAGCAAGGTGTGCCAAGACTTTTTTAAAATGAACATGTTACTTTATAAAATGAATATGTGTAAGCATGTTTAACGTGTTCATTTTATAAAGTAACATATTCATTTTAAATTGCTTTGGCACACCTGGCTAGAGGTGTCGAGGCACAAGTAGTAGCTGCATATATGTAGTTGCCCTCGCCGGCTGGAAATCCTGAATCAAAGCAGACGTTTCAAAACCTCTTCTTTCTCTGAACAATTTCACTGTCATCTGTGCTAGCTTTCAATGGCTTGGCCCCAGATGGACCCGCAGTACGAACAAAGGCTCATAGAAGAAGTAATCTACCTCCACTCCCTCTGGCACCAAGGTCCCCCACGAGCCGCTG